CTCCCCCCAAGGGGGACATAGACAGCAATTAAAACCTAATAAGGGTTATATCCCTGCCCTACTTTATCTAAAACTGCAAATAAAACATTTTGGTAATGAATACACTTTAAAGCTACATTCCAGGCAAACAGCTAAATACACATTTAAAGTACAGGTAAGGGAGCTGTTTTATCTGTTGAATCTCTGTCCATCCAGTATTGAGATTCACACAGCACATCCATATCTGGCAGGGTAGAAAACATGATATTTCTTTGCTGCAGTTCAGTAATACTTGCAGGTCTTGTCCCTCACCCAGCCTGTGACTGGACAATGAAAAGAGAAGCAGTAGACTGCTGAGCTCATTTGTGTCTCTCCTATTAGCAGTAGCAGCAGTTTTTTACACTGCAGCAGAACTGCCGCTTTCTGATCTCCGCTGTATAGTGTCTTAAAAGAGACATACAATTCAGGTACTTATACTGATTGCATGATTCCAAAGCTGCAATAAATTTGTGTCTTTTATATCTTTCTGGAGTTCAGCTTTTATTTTAATATGAAATTGTTACATTTATTCTAAACACTGGCAGACTCGGTGCAAACATGCTATTTTATCTAATCAGTAACTGTGAAAGCATCAAGAATGCAAGAGCATTTATACCACTGCTACGGTAAGGGCTTGTTCACACTGAAAGCGGTGCGTTCCAGAGCAGTAGCTGCTGGAACGCACCGCAATCCCTCACAAAACTTCCCCCTGCGTTCTGGGGCGGGAGGGGGCGTGGCGGTGCATTGAATTCAATGGCAACGCTTCCACGCCCGCAGTGGGATCGGACACATAGCAAAACTTTGTCTGCGTTCCACTGCAAACGCAAAAAAATAGAGCAAGCACTATATAACACTCATTCAAAAGGATCTGTTCACCCAAAGTTAACACATTAGTTGTAGGTGGTGCCTGATGGGCTGAATCAGCTCCTGGCTTCTTAAATATGTTAGACATCTGTGGGATCCATTATTGACCATGCTGTGTCTATCTGGAAGTTTGTGGTGTTTCTACACACCTTTGAGTGTTGTAACAAGTTCTCTTGCATTCTCCATATTGTGGAGTAAACAAAACAATTCCTACAGGGTGAGACGGAACACCCTTAATGGTCACAGCAGGCGTGTAGAGTCAGGAATTCAAGCACAGAGATGTCACTTAGGGCCATTCACATTTCTCAGTTGCCATGAGCTATGGTAAGGTGCGCAGAGCCATAACACATGCAAACACATGTTATATGCATTAGCATGTCCCAGTGCCATTAATTTTTAATGGCACCCAATGCACTAAGGCAACATGCCAACACACATGCATTGCAGTGTACCACAATGCACGTTAAAGCACAACTTTAAAGCTTGTCAAAGTGACTCTGTCGCTGACATATAACTTCAGATGAAATAGTTCCCTGGAAAGAATAATATATATACTTACTTCATGCATTGCCCTTGCTGACTGCTTTAATGAAGCAGAATCTCTGATCGAAAACAGACACTTCTAGGAGTGTCAATCCCCTGGTTCCTTGCTGTGCTGAAGGAGGAACCACTGAGCACACCGAGTCACCAGGAGGCTGACACTCCCAGAAGTGTCTTATTCCATACAGACTTCAGGCAATTCCTCTTCATCAGAGCAACAATCAAAGTATATACTTTCTTCTTCACAGGGAGCTATTTTGTTTGAAGATTTCCTACACAACAGAGTCATTTTAATAATATGTACATATTTCAATGCCCATAGCCTGACCACACAAATCACTTCGCAGCCTGATCCATACGTGTTTGGATACTGAAAATGACTTCATCTTGCATGTGGTTAAAATAAGTGTACAGTGGTTTTGTACACACAGTATTTCATTTTGTTAGAAAAATGGTGAATACATTTTGTTTGGCATATTATATATTCTTTTTACCCATAATAAAGTTTCTTAGCAAAGTTAATATCATACATGGGCATACAGAAGAGTACAACAGCATAGAAAACCTGCAATATAGAGCACCAATAAAAAACTATGCCCTGCTAGTTAAAAAAATATCAGAGCATGTTTTAGGGATAATGATGTGTAACAAACACCCCTCAGAAGGTACCACGGAAAATCAGGGTGATAGTAACGCACATTATATATTCTTATGCCCATTTTTTTGTAAGAAGTGATGGAGAAGCATCAGATCAATCCACGTTTTAATCATTCCAGCTAGATGATAAGGAAATAACTACAACGGTGTCTCTTTGGTCATTATGTATTATATCCTTATTTGTAAAACAATATATATAATATATATAATACAAAACAAAAATATAAAAACATCAGTAAAAGCCTGTAAACTTATAAAGTAAATGAAATTGGCCAAAAACCAACATAGATATTGCTAAATTGCTTAAACATCAGCATCACTATAAAACAACCTAGTCAGGTTATAGAATGCCAGTTCAACACGCATTTTCATTTTGTTACAAATGTAATTAATTACATTTCTTATCAGTCAATTGAAAAGATAGATTTTGCCTACAGCCTACTAGGCCTTTGTAAGCAGTGTTTTGGAGAAAACATATTTACCTAATACCTCCATTGAGTTCTATAAACATCTGTACTATTTAAAGTCTGGAATAACATCAAGGTAGTTAGAAGACCAGTGATCCATTCACTGACCTAATTAAGGGCATATGACAGAGTGATTTTGAGTGATGCAAACATGCACAGGCTGAGTCTTTTTGGATATGCAGCTGTTGCGTCCCAATAATTCATGTTCACTTTCTCAGCCAATTAGCACATTTCAGGCCAATTACACTATAATATTACTCCTGCGTAATTGTCAATATGTGTTTTGCTTGCAGCCAAATAATATACAAACTTCAGTGTCAAACAGCACAACTCCGTATTTAATATACCCAAAGCCAACATGCCAGCACAATTCTGCATTTCCCTTTACCTAGCAGTCAGAAACACTGTCATTATCAGTTAAAATATTTTACTAATTAATTATTCAAACAAGTTCTTTATTCAAAAACATTAGATAAAAAGAATATTTATAATAATCAAACACTAAGGGCTGTATTTATAACTCTTCTGCCCAGCTAAACAAGCTGGGCAAATGCCATTGCCTGGGGTCCAGAAGCATAGGAAATTCCCATGCTCCTTGACTCCACCTAGTGGTATAAAGGCTGCCTGCATGGCATTCACCCAGTGTATAGCTGGGCGAAAGAGTTATTAATAGACCTCTAAAGTCAGCATGTGCTGTTAACAACAATTGTATATTTGATGCTTCGGATGATACATACAATGAAGACATCTACCAGTGTATGTAGCTGGGGCAGAACTAATTTGTTGAGCGATGCAGGAGTTCATCTTGGCTGTATGGATCATATATATATAAAAGATCAAGCTGTCTAATGATTAGTTCAGTAGAATAATTGAATGAAGGGGCTCTTTATATACATTTTTAGGACCCTTTATACACCTGTGTAGTCTGATATGGTGCATAAATGCACACATGCTATATCACAAGTAAATGTGCATTGTGTTAAGGCAACCGTTATATCTAAATGGGCTCCAAATGCACCACAAATGGACCTAAAAGTGAACCTGAACTCATTTTTCAAACGCAATACACTACAACACACAGTAGTGTGTTACAATGTGTTGTGGTACACTGATGGTGCCATCCCTAACACACCGTAATGTGGGCCATGCATTGCATGTGCACATTATCATGTATAGATTTGAAGCTAGCCTTCAGATTTAATTACCTAATGGTTAGTTTATGATGTTGTCCTGGTTAAGAGGCTTCTTTAAAGAAAGAACTCCAGGCAAAATTATTCTTAACCCTTGCAGTGGGACTACCCCCACCCTGCAAGGGTTAAGTGCTCGTTTTGTCTAGGGTTATACTCACCCGAACCACAATCCAAGCTGGCTGTAGGACTGGTCTCTGTAGCCTCTCTTCCCCTCTGTTCCGGCAGTATAAGGTCCTGTGAGTCATCATGTCTAATATGTCCCCTCCTTTGCGCCATCACTGGATCAAAGGAGGAGATAGGCTGCGGGGATTGGTCTAGCAGCAAGCCGGCCCCAAGGTTCAGGTAAGTATATATTTTTTTTATTTTCATCCCTAGATGAAAATCAGCACCTAATCCTTGTAGAGTGAGGGCAGCCCCACTACAAGGGTTAGGAATAATTTTATCCAGAGTTCTTCTTTATGGAAAAATGTTTTGAGGAAGCTGAAGATCTGGATTTTCTTATCCCTCATTCTTTAAATGTTAGTTGCTTAGCTGTGGTGCTAAATGTCTTCAATACTTTGATTCAGTGACAAAAAACAAGCATTCAAATCAAGAGATCTGATTTTACTTTGCCTTTCCTACTTTACATGGTTGTTGCAGATCACAAATTTCGAAGCATATTTTCAAAGGAACTGTATGTATTTTAAAACCATGTAGGTTTTCATATAGATATAAAAGAAAGCAGGGTTGGAATCTCTATCAGGATTTATTGGTGTCTCCATCCCTTTAGGGAATTTACCCTCTTTATTAGTAACCATTGTCTGAGAGACCAAAAGTGAGGGGGAATCTAAAATGTGTCAGAACAGGAGCAGGGGGGATAGAAGAGGTCTCTTCCAATGGTGCCTTCTTTTCTTTTAACAACTATGAAAGATGGCTTTCCCCTCAGGCTTGGGGAGTTTTCTACTTGCTTTGTGTCATGTCTCTGGAACAGGAAGTAAAGGAATATCTCTCTATTAATGATATAGACCGAAAAAAGAGGTTTCTTCCCCCTGCATATTCCATAAATTGAAAACAAATAGCTTCCATGCATGCTATAGTTGCATTCAATCACAGGAACAGGAGGCACTGTCCATAAAGGAATATAAAATCTTGTAGAATATTAAGGACTGTTTTAGTTGTTTCAGGTTTAATCGACTTATGCAAATGGTATGTCAGTGTAGATAATACCACAGTATTACAACAGAGTAAGGCTGATCAGGTCATGATGAACAAGGTTGATACTTACGCAGAATGGGTCTGCACATCATGCCAGCCTCGACTGAAGTTCTGCTTCAGCTCATTCACCATGCTTGCTCCCAATTTCTGTTTGATCTCTGCCAGGTGCTTCTCTTTGGCAGCTAACACTTGACGTAGAGTTACAATTTCATCTTCCAGCTTTGTAAATAGAGAACAAGGACAGTCAAAGGGAGCAGAAACAGGCTGCATTCTGTCACAATGCTTTGCTGTTTTACCAGTGTTTCTTTTGATATATGGCTATATATTACTATAATGATTACATTTTAGCAGCTGTCATTTACCCATGTTTCTCTTTTCCTAACAATAAAAGGGAAAAGTATTATTTAAAGGGTAGGTATAAAGAAGTGCCACTACTCAGTAGGCATAAAATCTCTGCCAAGCTGTGAAGACCCTTTCCTTTTCATGGACTATACCTTAACCATGGGTGGCAAGCATAGGAACTAGAGTTACTACTGTCAAAAGGTGGAACACCACTTCCTAAATGTGAATGGAACAACACTTCCTTCCAATGAGTATTACAAAAAAAAAAAACAGGTGCCACTTATCCTCTGAGAACACTGTGTTATGGGCAAAAAAAGAGGAATAAAAACATCTTGACCAACAGAATTTATCCCGTAAGGAATCTTTTAAGGCAGGCTATCAGCTTGATAAAAGCAAGCAATGTTTCACTTGCAATTACTGGGTCATTCCTATACACTATAGAGGAAAAGTGACAGTTGTAGCAGCTAAAGTTATTAATAATCACCCAGGCTGAAAAAACCCAAAGTCGAACACATTTTTCCTTTTTCTTTTTTTTTCCTGTCCGAGCTGGTTTAGGAGCGCAGCTGGTCTCTACCCTTCTGTATGGACTGAGCATTTATCTCTTTACCTGCTCTTTGTGGGAGATGGCTGCTCATCTATGGTCAGCCTAAATTCTGTTATAAATCAGACTTGATCTTGCTTATTAATCCAGAATAAGTTAAGGATCACCTAATGATTATAGACCGCTTTAGATTTACAACAGAAAGAGAGCGATACCTTTGCCAATTCATTCTTTAGTTCTTCCTTCTCTTCCTCAGATAAAATTTCAGTAAATTCAGCTTCGGCTGTTAATTCTTCATCTGTTTCCTGGAGTGGCTGAGTGTCCTGGAGATCTATAAAGAGAATAATGCTGTAAATTGCAGTACTAATAACGTTAATACAAACTGCTGGTAAGTACATTCTTTTAAAGCAATCATAAGCAATTTAATGCAAGTGACAAAGTTTTGTGAGACAGATTCCCATGCAGTAAAACATTTTTTTTTGCTATTCAGCCAGCAAAGATTTAACTTAAAAAGAAATGCTCTAGAAAAAGATAAAGTATATTTGTAATTTATTTAAATACTGGTTGTGATTCTAACCATGTTCTTGGTTAGAATCATAGAGTTACAATTGTTTTTTTAATAATCATTTTTCAGAACAGGAACTTCTGCCATAAGTGCTTTTACTCTCTTTTTTTGTGTGTATATTAGAAGAGTATAACATTTTATGTCTTATGGATAACAAAGTGTAAATGTACACATGCACAGGTGCCTGCCTATACCAATATAACCTGGGACAATCTATTCTGTAAATCTTGACTTGAATAAGGGAAATCAAGTGCTGATACACCCTCCTACACCACAATTGGTCACTGAGGGCCCCATCACACTGAAGGGCAAATAATGTGGTAAAGGAAGCATACAGAAGTGAAGGTAAATCTTTAGGAGCAATACAGACAGAAATAAGAACACCTTTTTAGTAGAGTAAGAGAGGTCTAGAGCCCCCACCAGATTTGTCTTTGTCCCTGTTGCAGGTTTTCCCTCACTACCTTTATGGTGAATCCTTTCTAATTCCTGTAGTTAGAGGGCTCAGGGCTTCAGATAGCAGTCAAAACCCCAAAGGGGTTCTAAAGCTGGGTATACACGGAGTGAATTTTGTCCAATTTTTAATGAACCATCCGAAATTCGCTCACTGGGTGATCCTATCCTGCCCGACATACCTCAATTTACAAAGCGAAGGAACAAGGAAGAAAATTGTTGTCTGAACAGTGCCTGCATGCAAATTAGATGCAGGCACTGTTCAGGTATTTTGACAACCGGCGGGCCTGAGGATCCTCCGTATAGGCTGTTTAGTATGGCCCGAAAGCTGAATGAAAAAAATCTAACTGTGTATACCCAGCATAAAACTTTGTCACCCTATGCAACATTGGATACAGATAACCAAAATCAGATAATGTAGGTTTTCATAAGCACAGATTAAAGCAATGAAGAGACAGACAACATGTTTCTCATTGCTATAGGTCAGGGGTGCCCATTAGGTAGATCGTGATCTACCAGTAGCTCTCAAAGCTGATGCTGGTAGATCACGAAGGGTGTGAATGGCGGCCCCTTTATTCCATGTTGCTATATTTATTTAGCTGTGCACACATGATTACCTATTAGCCTGAGTCTGCTGAGCCAAGCTCCCTGACACCTTTCTGGTGGATACTGGGGGTTGAAGTGCTATGCATTACATCAAAGAATATTAGTTTACACAGCCTGTTGCAAAATACAGCAAGGTGAGCCAGGAGAGAGAGCGGGGTGAGACAGACAGACAGGAAAGAGAGGAGAGACAGCCAGGGGAGAGAGCGAAGAGAGACAGCCGAGAGAGACAGCCAGGTGAAAAAACGAGGAATAACAGCCAGGAGAGAGAGAGAGCGAGGAAAGACAGCTAGGAGAGCAAGGAGAGACAGCCAGGAGAGCGAGGAGAGACAGCCAGGAGAGAGAGAGCGAGGGAGGTTTTTTTTCGTTGGTAGATCTCATGTAGCTCGTCATTTGAAAAGTAGATCTTAACACCAAAATTGTGGGCACCCCTGCTATAGGTTTTAGTGCTGGCAGTTCAGCAATGCTAGATTTTGGAGTGTGAGCGATGCCCTACTCTAAACCTACCTACTATCAGCCACCTAAAGTCCCTGTACAGCAGAGTTGAAGTGTGAGGGGAAGAAGCAGCTAAAGAAGCCAATTAGTTCATGTGCTGACAAAGATTTTGTTGATAGGACAAATCAACAAGCAAAGTGGCGAAGAGAGATCACTTGCTGCTGTTCCTTTCCTTGTCCAGTCACGATCTGAGGCAGGTCCAAGTCAGTTAGAGTATATGGGTAACTAAGGATGGCCATGAGAATGAGGACATCTTGTGTGGTAGTAAAGTAATGTGGAGGAGAGCTCCGGATTAAAACGTGAACATTGTGACAAAAGCTTTTTTTTTATGTCATCATTTACTGAGATCCTCTTTGCAAAGACTAACTCCCCTGTGCCAAAAGATACCTCCTCAGGGATCCCAATGTTGAAATATACTGTTTCCCAAATGAAACCCTCTAACTCAATTTGAAGACCTTTGCATTTGTCTGGGAGACACTTCATACATGTTCCCATTGCCCCCACATTACAACAGAGACTGGGAGAGAGAGAGATCTAGGCCGTGCACTTTCCATTGAAGGCTGGGATAAGGCTTTTACACTCACCCACTCCACAAGCATTTCCAGTTCACTCCAAGAACAGAATTTCTAAACATTTACTAGATGGTACCATTGCCCTTTCACTCTAGACAAAGGATATTCCCTACTTTACCCAACCAATGCTGGAGGTGCAGCAAAGAAATAGGGACCATGCTACACACCTGGTAGTCCTGCAGACTTTTGTGCCCATTCTGGAACTTAATTTCCCAGCTCTACTGATGGGTCATGGACTTATCCCTATCTCTAACCCCAGAGATTGCCCTTTGATCCATCATCCTAGAGCTCCTAGTCAGAGCATGGAAAGATATTATTAGATTTATCTTAAATCATAGTTAGAGCCCTCATCCCAAGTCATTGAAGATCCCCCACACTCCTTCCACCCACTGAGTGCATTACAAAACTACTTAATGAGGACTGAGGAACTCACCACACTTCTTAAAGATACAGTACATACCAAAAATTCATAGCTGTTTGGAGTGCTTGGATTAGTGATCTACATTTCAGACAGCTTTACACTTATCTCTATGATGACCTAATGTACATTTTTTTTTTTACTAATGCAGTGGTGTCTTGGTGATGGTAATAGGCACCCCAGGCAAAACCCCCACCCCTTTTTACTTTCCCTCCGCCTTTCCTTGTCCTATTTTTCCCTTGTTTCTCACCTGCACTTTGGCTTGCAATTCAGCTTATTTCTTTATTACTGTTTCTAGCATAAAGTACTCGATCACAGTCTTTAGGACATTAACTAGTAATTTTTCAGTGTCTTGGATGATGGCACCATTATTGCCTTGCCCTACCTTTAATGTACATCATACTAACATACCATTCACTGAGTGTTATACATTTCTGTAACATTTAAAATAGAACTAAAGCCAAATCTTTTTTTTTTGTGGCTTTAGTCCTCTTTTGGGTTAAGGGTGTACATTTACTAATGTCCTCCTGTGACCAAAAGTCAGCTACTAGCGGGCTACTGCCTGCTATTTGCTGGCAGCGCTGAGCTGTACTGCAGTCGGAAGGGATCCCAACAATATTGTTGATCCAGAGCCAGCTGTGCACCCCCCGATCTGTCCTTTCAATGAGCGCCGGAGGAACAGAGAGAGGAGGGGGAATCCCTGCGACAAGTAGTGACTGACAGTCACTGCTCTCTGCAGGGAGAAGATTGTGAGTGATCAGCAGTTTGTGATTGTTCAACTCTCAAACTATAGAGCTGGCATGTGACAGCTGCAGTGTCACACGTCGGCTCTAGGTAGTGGGAAGAGTACACTAAACTCTGCCACTACTTCTCTTTTAATGAAAATGGCTCAAGCTGGGAGCCACATGTGTATCTGTCTTATATTCTCAACATCTGTCTTGTAAATCTGTAAAACTTCCAAATACAAATGTACTATTTAAAACAGAAATATACTGTTTCTCAATTTTTGGTTGTGTGCTTTGAGAGATAATCTCATTTGCATATCTGTAGACATCTAAGGTGACAAAACTATTCTGTTTAGATATCTAAACACCTCTGTCATTAGAAACTATATAAACTTTTTGTTTAGACTAATATTCTTCTTTAAAGTGCAAATCCAGGCAATAGAGTGAAAGTAACCAGTGAGCTAATTTTAGTACTGAGTTGTTTTTTTTTTTAAAGTAGTATTAAGGTGCCCATACACCTTACGATTATCGGACGAAACTTTTCGTCCGATGATCGAACCGTCGTACGATTTTCGTACGACGGCCCCATCCTGCCCCAATTATCGCAAGGTTCAATCAGCGGTAGTTAGAAAAAAACACCTGGACGACTTGCGGTAATTGACCGCAATTATTTCCGTTTGCGCATGCGCAGTGTTAATCGTACGACTTTTGACGGACGGAAACGCCACCAACCATGCGAACATCGTACGATCAACCAACGTTTTCAAACATGCTTGACCGTCAAAAGTCGTACGATTGTACAGTACTATCGGTCGGGCACTCTATTCACACGTTACGATTGTCGTACGAAAAGTCGATCGCATACGATTATCGTACGATAATCGTAAGGTGTATGGGCACCTTTAAACTCTCAAACATTTTAATAATGAATCCAGGTCAAACAAATGTACATTGTCCAGCAAAGCATTTTTTGCCCAGGCACTTAGTCATCATGTTTCCAAACAGCTCCAACGCTTTGCTGTGTCTCTGTGTTTGTGGACCCACATACAGCTTATTAGCATATGCAAGGGTGTCTCCATAGGACCCTGCAAGGGGAAGGAGCCACCCTAAAACAGGATATCAGGGCCAGTGCTCAGGGGACCAGCTGATTCTGCAGAAAACTAAAATGTTTAAACATCAAGGATCACATCCATTGTAAGTATTATCATCAGCATTTCTGGCTTTAATATCACTTTAACGTTAGGCTTTCTGTATGTGTGGGACAGTAAGAAGTCTACATTGGGTGTGTTTGGGAAAAAGTCTGCTACATCATGTTCCTAGATCATCAAATTACTAACATAAAGGATTAGGGTAGACTTGTGCACTTTATTTATGACTGAATTAACTAAGGTACTGAGCATAGGATGCGCTCTTTGCATACATAACATGGCTTCATTTTCTATTTTCACGTAAGTGGATCGTTACAATACCAGTTATTTTATAATATGGTCACAGTAAAATGAA